CCCCCCCCCCCCCCCCCTCCCCCCTCTCCCCTGCTGTTCACTGTGCTGTACTGTAGTACTGCCACGCATTGTGTACAACCACATGCTCTCCGCTGTCGTACGGGTTTGTCTGATGGCACTCACCACCACCCCTCTTGGGGGCTTGATGAAGTGGATTGCCCTCAGAGATCAAAAGACAGAAAAAAGAAAATACGAAGCACTTGTAAGGAATGAGCGAATCGTGAGGGTGCTACAGTCGAAAGGAATCAGAAATGCGACAACTTGGGCCGTACTTCGACGCAAAATAAGGGATTGCGGCTCGACCCGATTGACGTTTCTCAACAGCGGGCGCTAGATAAAATTTCGCTACGAACCTTTGCTACCGTTACTCCGAGGCAGAAAAACGAATTCCTGGTTTCGAATATAGTCGCATGAGCGGCGGCAAAATACTGGAAAAATCAAGGCATTAACTAACACTCTGTCCCTGTTGAACGGCAGCAGTGCAAGCACAAAAGGCGAAACAAGTGCTACTTAGTGAGAGTGTGCGAACGTCCCCAGGTCATCCTCGCCGAGAACAAGGCATCACGTCACAGGAGACTACTGCTGTACAACTACCACTCTTTTGCTGGGGTTTTGGCGACATGACAATCAAGGCCAATTATGCGAGTTCTGCCTTGTTTGAGGGACACGCCATGAATGTCCTACTGCTTCTCTCTGCGTGACGGGACAACAACGCCGACGAAAGCAAGCAAGCCCCCCGTTGCCGTTTCACCGAGACGCCAGAGGTGCACAGCAGTCTGCTCCTTGCGCATGAAAGAACTGAATGAATCTGGCACATGTTCATACCACGGGCTTTACCCACACTTAGAACGTACCCCTTTCTTCCTCCCTTTTTGAGACCTCAATATTTCTGCCAAGTAATGTAGGGAGGTGGGGCCTCCACCATCTATCGAGAGCCGGCACAAGACAGCGAGGCAGGCTCTGAGCGGTATGGCACATGAACGAGGGCAAACAACCGTGCGTGTCAAAGAGACCAACCAACACAGCTGTGCCGCATGTTTTTTTTAGTCCGAATTTGCAGCCCAGGCAAACATGCTACACTGACGCCGACAGCATCGTGTACGCCTCTTGAACTCACCCACCGCCGCCGACAAGGTAATAGCAGGTCGTCCCATCCTTGACAAGCAAACACAGCAGCGAGTGTAGGTTGGTGTTGCACCCCTTCTCAATCGCAAGTGCTCCGTCAGGGGGGCACGGAAGAGCTTATTTTTACTACCCCCAAAGGACTTGCCATGGATATCCTGTGCGCGCCCCCCGCTGGGTCCGCGTCCTTGCGGCAATCCAGTCGGTCCCACTGGACGCGAGCCCCGATCAACGGCACCATGCGAGGATTGCTTACTCTGGCGTGTGGTGCGGTGGCGGTAGCCTCGGCTAGCGCCTTCTTGGTGTCTACGCCGTGCGCTCTCTCCTCTTCCTCCGCTGCTGCTGCTGGCAGATTAGCATGTCGTCGAGCGATGAGCATGAGCAAAGGGTTCGGGTGAGTGTTTGAGCAACAGCGCGCACTAGGAGCCAGCAAGCAGGGACGAGGAGATACGCGTGTCGCCTAAAGACGAGGTTGGATTGGAATCTTGTCTGTAGTATCTCCCTCGAGGGTGCTAGCCAGTGACGTCAAGCTTCTTTCGAGGAGAAGTACATACGAATCTGTCGGTAGCTGCTCGCGGGCAAGTGCTGGAATACGTCATCGGTGGGTGTACCTGTTCACAGTCGCTGTCCTGTGTGTGAGTCGTCCGTCGTTCACCAGCTAGTGCTCTCGCTTGCAATGACGACAGGGAGCCTCCCCCGCCGAAGAAGGTCAAGGCGCCCAAGTCAGAGAAGAGCATTCAGGTGATGCAAAAAAGTGTTCCCTGTCGCCCGGTTCTCGTGGGCAAAGATTTCAAGATATTTGGTGATGCGACTCGACGCACACGTACTTTGAACCAGCTGACTCGATCGTTGCCACACCACATTAGTTTTTGTGGGCTCCTAGGTTTTTGAGGTGCATATGCATACGGCTTGGTAAACGTGAACCGCTGTGTGTGCGTGCTCCATGTAGTTATCATTCTCGATCCTCCTCACGCCTCTTCCTTCGTGGCAAGAGAGATACACGCAGCGGTCGGCGTTGATCGATCAAGTAAATGGAATTTTACGATCCATTTTTGCCCTGCTAGACTACTGTAATGGTAAATAGTGTAGCAACCGAAGGCAGCAGCAGGTTACCCATCACGGCCCTCGAAAAATAGCCCATTGTCACCCCCCAAACCGATCGACGATATTGGCTGCTGCGTTCCCGCGAGGAACTCCTCAGAAAGCAATCAATAAACGCTGTGCATGACAGAGTTGCGGCATAACTCCCAGGAGTAGATACAGCTTAGCACGCCATTTTGATCAGCAACGCTACACGAGAAAAGAAGAGGCGTGCTTACAAACGTGTGTCCGCGAGGGGAACAAACGGGAAGCGCGTGGTAAGACGGGTGGAGACGGCGGGATGTGGGGTGGCGAGGCTGGCCTGCTTTCTGGCTTCTGGGTCTTACGTCCCGAACCGGGGTGTTTAGTAAGCCGAAATCAAACTGTCAGACTAGTCAGCCGCTGACTAGTGGCTGACTAGCCTAATGCTCGGCTTCTAAAGGTGGTCCTATCAAGCACGCAGAGGCTGCGGCAGGAGGAGCAGGGCGTTGCGTCATACCACGTATACTCGCGTTTGGTATGTGTCTTCAAGCTCGAAGCTCCAAGGGACAACGAATCGCCGGAGGCTAACCTGGCGACGACTTCGGGCGGGTGGCAAACGTGGGGAGGGAGGCGGGCACTGACCAGGCCACGGTCCCGCCGGTGACTGGCTGAACTTGGGCGGCCAAAACATGCGAGTCCCTCTTGGCGGGTGTTTCAGTCCTGTCATTGGAGCCTCGGGACGAGAGTGGTGCAGCGCTGCGGCCGGGGGGTCCTAAGTCTGCTTCCAACACGTGGGAGAAGTCTTTGTTTCGGATGGTGGTGCGACGGTGGCGGTTTTTCCGCTGCGGCGGCGGTGGTGCTTTTGCGACCCAGGGTTCCCATTGCCGTCGTCATGCTGGTCCTCGTCGTATTTCATTCGGCGACGATGGGTTCGTGTCCCAGGTTTCAATGACTCATCTCTGGCAGGCGTTTTCGACTTCGGTGTCGATTTTGTTGGGGTTTTTATCAAAGCTTCTGTGCTCCCTCCCCCCCCCCCCCCCCCCC